TTAACCCAAAGAGGACCACATCAAGACACATTGTTATTAATATGCCAAAGGTTAAAGACAAAGAGAAAATTTCAAAAGCAGCAAGAGAAAAACAGTTAGTTACCTACAGGGGAGCCACCCTTAAGACTGTCAGCTGATTTCTCAACAGAAATTACCAGCTTGATAGATGCCTAACTGTTCCCCTGCCGGCCTGATTGCCCCTAACTGCTTTCCCCTATTGGCCTGGTCACTGCCAACTGCCCTCCCCTGATGGCCTGGTTGCTCCTAACTGTCCTCACCTGCAGGCCTGCTCGCCCCCAACTACCCTCCACTGCTGGCCTGGTCCCCCAAACCGCCCTCCGCTGCAGGCCTGGTCGCCCCCAACTGCCTTCCCCTGCAGGCCTGGTCCCCCCCCCTCAACTGCCCTCCCCTGCCAGCCATCTTGTGGTGGCCATCTTGTGTCCACATGGGGGCGACAATCAACTGCCCTCCCCTGCTGGCGATCTTTTGTGTTGGAGTGATGGTCAATTTGAATATTACTCTTGTATTAGATAGTATGCCAAAGGTTAAAGACAGAGAGAAAATTTCAAAAGCAGCAAGAGAAAAACAGTTAGTTACCTACAGGGGAGCCACCCTTAAGACTGTCAGCTGATTTCTCAACAGAAACTTTGCAGGTCAAAAGGGACTGGCAAAAAATATTCAGAGTGATGAAAAGCAAGGACCTACATCAAGATTACTCTACCCAGCAAAGCTATCATTTAGAATTGAAGAACAGATAAAGAGCTTCCCAGACAAGAAAAAGCTAAAGGAGTTCATTGTCACCAAACCAGTATAACAGGAAATCTTAAAGGGTTTCTTTAAGAAGAAAAAAAGATTAAAAAATATATAAATGATAGAATGGCAATAAGTATGTATCTATCAAGAATTACTTTAAATGCAAATAGATTAAATATTCTAATCGAAAGACACAGTGGCTGAATGGATAATAAAGCAAGATATATATATGTGTGTGTGTGTGTGTATATATATATATAGTATATATCTTGTATATATAATATGTCATATGTACATATATATGTTATATATGTATATATATATATGCACATACACGCTATCTATGTGTATGTGCATATATATATATGCACATGACTCACTTCAGATCAAAAGACCCACACAGACTGAAAATAGACAGAAAAAATGATTTCACAAAAATGGAAACAACAACAACAAAAATGCTGGGGTGGCAATACTTAACACCAGACAAAATAGACTTTAGAACAAAAGCTATAACAAGAGACAAAGAAGGACCCAGCAATTCCAATTCTAAATATTTACCCAAGAAACCCAAAACACTAAATCAAAAGACATATACATCCATATGTTCATTGCAGCATTATTTACAATAACCAAGACATGGGAGCAACGTAAGTGTCCATCAATAGATGAAGGGATAAAGAAGTGGAATATGACTCAGCCATAAAAAAGAATGAAATCTTGCCATCTGCAACAACATGGATGGATCTAGAACAGGGGTGGGCAAACTTTTTGACTCGAGGGCCACAATGGTTTCTTAAAATGGACTAAAGGGCCGGAACAAAAGCATGGATGGAGTGTTTGTGTGAACTAATATAAATTCAAAGTAAATATCATTACATAAAAGGGTACGGTCTTTTTTTTCAATAGTTTTATTCATTTCAAACGGGCCGGATCCGGCCCACGGGCCGTAGTTTGCCCACGGCTGATCTAGAAGGTATTGTGCTGAGTGGAATAAGTTAGAGAAAGATGAATGCAAGATGATTTTACTTTTATGTGGAAATTAAAAAACAAAATAAACAAGCGGAACTGAAACAGAGAGCATTTCAATGGTTGCCAGATGGGAGGGGTTGGGGGGATAGGTGAAAAAGGTGAAGGGATTTAGAAGTACAAATTGATAGTTACAAAATAGTCACTGGGATGAAAAGTACAGCATAAGGAATATTGTCAATAATATTGTAATAACTAGGTATGTTATGGAATATGGAATTGGTGCGGAAGAGACAGTTGGACACTCTGAGGTTTCAGGAAAAGCCTTTATTCAAAGCAGCGCTGCTGGTTCAGGGGACTCTAAGATCCAGATCCCGAACAACTTAGACAATGAGATTTTCTCTTTATATATTTCTGAGTTTCTTTGTTTCCTAACTACCAAGCTTCTGTAGTGGACTCTCACAGCCCCACTTCAAAGTCAGTTAGAATGGTTACCTTAGATTATATCTACTGTCCATCCTGGATGGTGCCAGTGACCTCCCGCTAGTTAAGCTGTTGGTGTCAGATGGGTACTAGATTTATCGGGGTGATCACTTCGCAAGTTATATAAATGCCTAATCATGGGGTTGTACATCTGAAACTAATATAATATTGTATGTCAACTGTAATTTAAAAATAAAAAAATATTTTAAAAAGATATTTTTTTCTAGTTATTAGCCATGCACTTTAATTTAAGAATTGGAATATATCTGTATTTCTCATTTAGTTTGTTATAATTTTATTTTCTTATTTTCCTTAGGATATTAGCTGCAATGAGATTCAGGTTCTTCCCCAACAAATGGGAAAATTACATTCACTTAGAGAGCTCAATATAAGAAGAAATAATCTTCATGCCTTGCCAGATGGTAAGATGCTCACTGTTTTTACTGACATGAATAAAAGAGCAACTGTGGAAAACTTAATTTAATTCTTTTTCATTTCTGAACAGAATTAGGAGATCTTCCCTTGGTCAAGCTGGATTTCTCTTGTAATAAAGTGACCGAGATTCCAGTTTGTTACAGGAAGCTGCATAATTTACAAGTAATAATTTTGGATAACAATCCATTGCAAGTACCACCAGCGCAGGTTTGTAATAAAAATCTATTACTTGTTTCTTCTCTTTTTATTCAGAATTATATCTGTTACTGGTAAATTGAAAAATCATCAGAAGTAAAAGTTAATTCGTTATTGAGTTATTATTATCTAAGGGAGTATTTCTGAGAAGTGGCTTTTTTACTTTGGTAGGAGTTTTATCTTAACTTCTGGAAAATAAGATTTGAAAACCCAGCCATAAACATTTTGCTTATGAACTGATAATTCTGATTGTTAATGTTATTTCAAAAGGATAAACTATGCAGTCCTTCTACATCTATCCCACTCAGCTGTATAGCCACTTGAAACTTGTGTGAGTGATAGAAGCGTTTTCTTAGCACTGATAGATTGTATCATAACACAAAGAACACTATACAAGTGTAAAAGTATTAATTTAGATTTTTAGTTTGAGGATTAAATCCATGTGGAATCCACTAAAATTATATTAAAGGAATACACTAAGATATAAACCTACAAGGACAAAGAAAGAAAGAGAGAGGACAGTAGCGGGGAGATGGCCACAGAATTTTGGAAAAAGGAAAATATATGGAATAGTGGTAGCAAAGGTCTCTAATTATTACTGCGCAAGAGTATCTGCTGAGGAGGCACATGGCAGTGAAACTCCAGCCTGCCCTCTCCTTCCAAGCCCTGTGCCCTGGCACAGTGTTGCATACATCTAGAAGAAGGGTTGCCTTTTTCCTGCTACAAAGGTACATTCCACTCATTCCAAAGGAGGTGCCTTTTCTAATTCAGATCAAGTCTGACAGGACTCCTGGTAGTAGCTGCCTGAGCATGATAAAGAAAGCTGAAACTTGTGTCTGCTATGGGAGAAGGCAACAAAAAATAAATTGATTTACTGTGTTAAACCTGGGGATGACTGGGGTTTTTTGTCGTTGATTATTGAAGGAAACATGTAGCTCTGAATATAGGGATGAAAGACTGAAAACTTGAAAGTCTGTAGAATGTTTAAGGCACTGCTGTTCAGTAGAAGTTTCTGAATGAAGGTGTGGAAGGGAGAAAAAGATTTTCCTTCTGTCCTTCAAAGTTATTCTGTCTGTTCTAATCATCAAATTTACATGAGACAGATTAATGGGAGAAAATAGCCAAAATTATTATGGATGTACATATGTGGGGTAAGCATATGGGATCCCAGGACAAATCCTGCAGTTGAGGCTCATGTGCCCTCCTCCGGAGAGTGGGGGTGTGGGGGGGATTGGGGGGGGGAGTAATTTGGACTTCAAAGGGAAGGTAGGCAATTCACAGGTAGATAAGAAGGAGCAAAGATTTGGTAAACAAATTCTTTCCAGGTTAACCAGACACAGAATGGGTCCAACAAACACATTTTGCAGGTTCCTTTCTGCCAAATTTAGTTCATGTTATGCTAAGGTGATCTCCCTTTCAGGAGCAGATTTTTCAATCTGATTTTTTTTTTAAACAGGTAAGGAGGAGGTAAAAGGCTTTTTTAGAGTCTTTTGTCTCTTAAAATTACATTATCCCCCAAAGTGGTATTTTGTTTCTTAAAATAATCAATATCCCCAAAAGTGGTATCTTGAGGCAGCAAACTCTGCTCCCCTCAGTGGGAATGTTTTATAAACTGTGCTGTCCAGTACCATAGTCACTTGCCGCATGTGGCTACTGAGGACTTGAAATATGTACTGGTTGAAGGAACCAAAATTTTAGTTGAATTTGATAATATTTTAAATCTTTTTAAACTGATTCAAAATGGATCATGAGCTTTAAACTTTTTTTTTATTGATTTGAGAGAGAGAGAGAGAGAAGCCAATTTGTTGTTCCACTGATTTATGCGTTCATTGATTCATTGGTTTCTTCTTGTATGTGTCCTGCCCAGAGATCCGACAATTGAGTTTTATTTTGATTAATTGAAATTTAAATAATTTCATGTGATTAGTGGCTACCATTGGACACTACAGGTCTAAGATTTACACTGTCAGATTCTTGCCTCCAGCTCTGAAGCCACACGACCCCCCATTTGCATTAGCAGAAGCCTAGGGTTTACTCTGAGGAGTAGGTAGATTTCTCTTAGATTCCCTCCCTCAGCTCAGCAGCCAAATGACTATAGCTTCTTGTGTTAGCATAAGCCTGGAATTTACTCTTCAGAGCAGTGCTGTCTATTAGAACTTTTTGTGCTGATGGGAATGTTCTCTATCCGCATTGTCCAATAGTAACCACAAGTGGCTGTTGAGCACTTGAAAGTGTATAATGTGACTGAAAATTTGAACTTTTAGTTTTGTTTAGATGTAATTAATTCAAATAGCCACATGAAGCTAAAGGCTGCTGTATTGGATAGCACTACTGTAGGGAGGCCGGAAACCAGAGTCAAGGACTTCAAGTGTAGCTCTGGTCAGAAGTGAGACCTTATACTGAAAACCATGAATGCTTACATAGTGAGTGGTGAGACCTTCCAGTAGACTGTCTTACTTGGCTCTCAGAATGCTTTTCAGCCTGTCTTATTTATTTCAGGCAGGGTGGCTGGATTTCTCTCTTGGTTGATTGATTGAACTTGGAGAATATACTGATCTTTGAGGGGGTCTCCTGATGAAATGGCCAGTCCCTGTCTGGTCACTAGACAGTGAGGCTCACCATTGGTAAACTTCCCCCTCATACACAGAGATTCCAGTTGACTTCTTAATTGCTTCACTCTTGAAGGTAAACAGATAGCCACAGATCACTAGACATTTGCAGGAATAATGTCTAGCATGAAAGACAGAGACCAAAACACTGAGAGCCTCCCATTGAAACAAAATGGGTCTCATTCATAGGAGTGACAATCAGAATGACTTCTCAGTAGCAGCATAGGAAGCTAGAAGATGTTAGAACCACATCTTCAATGACTATGGGAATACTTACATCTTTATGTACTCAAACTGTCAGTCAGGTATGAGGTAGAAAAAAGATAGCTTCAAACTGACAAGGTCTCAGAAATTTTAACTTTGATGTAGCCTTTATTAGAAAGCTAGCAGAGTTTGTGCTGTATCAAAATGTGGGAGTAAATTAAGCAAGAAAAATCCTTCATGTTCAAGATCGATAGATTTGCAATAGGCCTAGAGAGCAACCAGTCAGTTTGGAGTAGGGTGGTTATCTCCAAAAAGAAATAAATTGATAAATGACTTGATGTGTTTGTGAGTATGGAGGGGGTTTTACAGTTTTGTCATAGAGTTAGGAATTTATTAGTAGCTAGAGGCCCGATGCACAAAAATTTGTGCAAGAGTATGCCTTACTTCCCCTGGTTGCCGGCATCAGCTTCCCTTCAGCACCTGGGACCTGGGCTGGCTTCCCTCCAGCCCTGGCTTCATCAGGAAGGACATCTAGAATGACATCTGGTCTAATTAGCATATTACCCTTTTATTATTATAGATAGGATCACTCTGGCAACTGTGTTGAGATTAGCCTGAAAGGAGTATATAACTCAATGTTAAATAAGACTTTCCAAGTAAAATGGCCTCCCAACTAAGGCAGCCTCCTAAAATTCCTGAGCCGTACCTACAATGGCCCTGTCCCTTAGAGGGGTCCCTGGGCAACAGCAGGATGATAAGTCTCTTGAGAGGTGATCCTGCCATGAGGTGAAGGGGGCTTGCTCATTCCTTCTTGGCTGGAGCCACTGCAAGACGGCATGGCAGCACCTGTGGTCCCTTCCCAGAATGCTTTCCGCACTCTCAACCTTCTCCTGATCGAGCCCAGAGCAGCCAGCCTCAGAAAGCAGAGGCCGGGGGAGAGCAGAGGCTCCTTTAGCTTATAATGGAGAGCCTGCACACACTTGATCTTTTATGAAGACCCCTTACTCCAGACCTCAGTCTCTTCTTCCCTTCACCTTCCCTACCCGCTCCCCGCAGCCCCCTCCTTCAGGTCCCCAGTCCAGACTTCTCCTCCTCCTCTGTACAGTGGAAACTCCACCCCTCCCCACAGGAGAAGGCGCTGTCCCCTTGGACCCTAGCATCTCAGCCGTCAGCAAGATGCCCTCTCATTGGCTCTTAAGCAGGGTTGGGAGGGTTG